CTTAAATCTAAGCACATGCTGAGAAAATGTTTCACTGTATTTTGCACCCATGAGAAAATGTAGTAGACTATAAGTATACATGAAACTCAGAAAGTATACTAAGTATACTACGTTTACTCAAGAGTGGCATCTTCAGAGTCCACATTAACACGAACTCAGGAGGAGGACTAAATTGGAGTTTAATGTTGAGAATATGTTACAGATGTGGATAGAAATGCATATAATTGAAAATAAACCCGTATACCTTGAATGCATTGTTACATTTTTAACTTGCTGCTGAGGCCTTTAATTATTCAGAATCTTTCTATCCATCTATGTGCAAGAAATACCCAGGTTTACGCTGGATAACACAGGAACTCTTTATTTTTACTTATTTATTTTTTTGTTACAAGGTTGATATAAAACAGCTAAATCTGCATGAAATCACAATCTCGAGACTTCCAGTTCTGTTTCTTGGATTTAAAAAATGTATCCAGAGTCCATTCACTATTTATTATATCCTGACAGAAGGTGTATACATTTCAATGCTTTCCCTCACCTTGGAGACAGCCTGTCCTTTCTTTGCACAAACTGTGATGTATTCTGACTCTTGGTGCTGGTGAGAATACAGTATTTGTGGAAGTGTAGACCAGTAATGGTTCAGAGAGATAATGTTATCAGTTAAAAGAGTTCTGTTTACTTTAAGGCAGTTTGCTGTTTGTTATTTTTGTATTGATCTTGCAGATAATACAATTTACTGCATAATGTTACTGTTGATGAAGAGGCCATGATTAACTGTAAGATTAAAATGCTTTTATCCATTTAAGTTATAGCTGATTTATTTCCTGCTTATTTGATTGGATCCACCAAGTGATGTTTACAGACCAGCTGATTTAATAAAAGCTTTATGTCTTTATTTTGATTACAAAGAAATGCAGTTATGATTGCTTTTTATATTGTAAAGCTCTTCTGCAACTTCAATCATGCATCCAGCTTTTTGCACAGTGCGTGTCTGTCATTGTCCATTAAGCTAATATGCTGAGAAGCACTGGAATGTACGTAATTCCGAAGCGTGAGCTCAGGTGAAGCCCTGCAATCATCCCATTTACCTGTGAACAGCAGTGACACTGTAGTGCAGAACCTAACAGTGCAAAATCCATGATTATGTTAAACAGTACTTTTGTTATTATTTCCCACTCTGAGTAGTTACTTGGAAATGAATGTAGAACTGAGAGGTCCTTCAAAATGTCATAATCAAGGACTATCTGTTAATTAATTAGACTGAACAACGCTCTGCAAAAATATTTCACTAATGTTTTATGTATCTGTGGAATCTTAGGATAATCGATTTTTTCAATAACTTATTAATTTTTTATGTCCCATGTTACAACCTTTAAAGCGACTTTGTTATATGAATGATTTTGAGTTCAAAATAAACCTTATTTATCTCATATTAGGCCTTGGTGCAGTCCTACAATTCATCCACAGTCTGAATCAGTTTTAGTCCCATCTGTTTTAGTTCTTCTTTAAGGTCTTCCCCTCTCTAAATTAAGTCTTTAAGTCTTCTGACTGGCTCCTCCTGGCATTATGCAGAAGAAAGAATAGAAGTACATGTCTAAAACATCCACCATATAAAACAGCTGATGAGCATGTTAATTCCAGTTTGCAATAGTGCAAGTCTGGATCTTTCACACTCATATAGAAAGGTAACACTCCATTACCTCTCAAACTAAAGCTATAAATGCACTGTCTCCTGCTGTCTCCTACTCTGGGGCAGAGTGTTTGGCAGTGAATATATGATATACATCATCAAATATGGATTTAATTCCAAAGGATATTAGGTTCGTGGAATAAGAACAACGATGCTTGTAGCCTTCACAAACAAAGTGCTGAACATCTAAACTGCCTTTCGGTGAAGTTGCAGTAATGGAGCTGGTAATAACAGTGTACTGCAGGAGCTGCAAAATTAAGAGGCAAAGGTGCTGAGATCTGTGCCTCCCACCACTTCAGAGACATTTTCATTTTGTCACAGCTCACATCGAACACATCTCTGTCACAAAATTGAAGAAACTGCTGATTAAAGCAGGTCCAAAAAAGTGATAAATGTATGTTATTAGGGTCCACCAGGTGGACACAACCCTGTCGTCACCATGTCAGAGTTTGTTGGGAGTTTGTGCAGCGTTTCCCCAATGATTGTTTTGTTTCTTTAATAGCCTTGCACCTATTTGATGTGTACATAATTGTACCCCTTCCTAATGCTAAAGACCAGTCACCATTTTTCCAGCAGTGGGACTGTAATTTTCCTGGTACAAGAAGGGCTCGGATGTGTTCTGCTATGCCTAAAGTCCTTGTTTTTCTGTAGCAGCACACAGTAGGGGATCACATCTGTTTGTAGATCTGCAGGGCAGGTCTCAGCCTAGAGTCAGCCTTTTTCTGGAACTAAAGTGCAGTAGCTCACCAATAGCCCAGTGAACACAGCATGAACCCTATCTTTGTTTCCTGCTTCATTAATTTAACACAGTTCATGTTCAGAGTTACAGAGTCAGCGTCCTCTTCCTTTACAGCCCATTTTGTTATACAGAGACCGAGCGACACCACAGGTCCTCAATTTCTCCAGAGGGTTGTTATGTTTATCCAAAGCTGACTCTGCAGCATTAAGAACAATGGAGATAATGATTGTGGATGCCAGTGCTGCTCCAAAACTAATGGGACATTATTCCTACATCGAATAAGGTTAATGCAAAAAGTCAGTTATTCAGAGCAGCATGATAGAATTTTATTTTCCCTAAAACAAAAACAAAAAAATCAAATTCATTCTATTTGCTACACATTCACATTTTCCTCATTACATCAAACAGCCAACGCTTTCAGAAATGCAAGACAATGACCTGTGCCACAGTTTTTAGGGTAAACCCCAAAGGCTGGGGAAGCTGGCTGGTGAACGGAGGCTAGACCACAAACACAAATGTAAGTGGTAAAAGCAGAGTGTGTGTGTGTGTGTGTGTGTGTGTGTAAATCTGAAAAAGAGGGCATTGCCTTCAGGAAGAAATCCATGGTTTTGAAAGTATACTTGAATGAAGCCTTGTCCTGAAAAAAAAAAAGGTTTTCCTTTTCATTTTGTTTTTTCTTTTAGCACCTTTTGCTTCCCCTGCTGTACAAACTTTTAATGAAATGATTAAACTTTTTGGATTTGGCATTTAACAGGTTTGGCTTCAGCATGGAGTGCACTTTCTGTTTTAACTGGCACAACTTTCATGTTGTTAAAAGTGCTAAATTATTTGTGGCACTGCACAACACACATTGAGAACCTAATTGGGAACATTTGGAATAACCACGTATGAGAATACATATACAAAATAAGCCCATTTTCTCACCCCTTTTTTGTGTGTGTGAACAGTAAGCACTGAACTCCCATTTAAATTTAAACATTTCTTTTAAAATACAACACACCCCTTTTATTTCTTCATAATTTGCTTCCAATCAACCAGACTGGAAGCCAGGAGCTCAAGTAATAGTTCTCCTGGCTTTCTAGAGAAGTAATTTAGTTTTAATCTATGAAAAATGCTAAAGATGATAGAGTTTCACAGGAATAAAATAGTATTTTTGCACTAACAAGGTAATTCTCAAAGCCAGAATATAATAAATCTAATATAGTGTTATATATTAGAGGAGATTAAACAAGTGGGGTGAAAGAAGAAATGGTAGCCCTAAAAAAAGAAGGTGGAAGGGTAGCTGTCAAGCCATTCCTAAGTAAGGATGAGGTATGCCAAATCACACAATAACTTGTGTGAGAATCAGTGGCAACAGGTCTTATGGAGTGATGAATCCAAATTTGAAATTGTTAATGTAAATAAACAGCCATATGTAGAGGTCAGGAGAGAGATCCAGCAGTGACAGTCTACAACCATCTGTAAAACAAGGTGGAGGCTTTGTTGGAGATCTTGTCAAATTCCCCCCCTACCCCCGACAGCAGGAGGTGTATCATTTTTCCACCAACACGAAAGGGGTGTTTTTTGTTTTTTCATGTCTTGCTCAGAGTGCTTGCTAGCGCTGTCCTTAGTCCTCAGCAAACGTGACGAAACTATTCAGGAAAAAACGCCGCGTATATATTGTTTATCATGACTCTGGCTTTACGTGGCCTATCAGCACAATTTAAAAACTGGTATATATCACCTTGTTTCTTTGTCATCTTGACATGTGATTGGCTTACCACGACTACTTTATTCTTTCTCAGTCAAACAGCAGCACTCATGCGTTTGTTTTGCCCCCTTAGCTCCAGGTGTTGTGCCAAAAAGTGATCGTCAGGCAGAAAGTGATTGCTGTCTGCGAGACCACGCGCAGCTGCTTATAGCTGTAGCGCCCAGATTACTCACATAGACAGCTACTTCTGTGCAACTGAAGGTACGGTAAGCTGAAGACAGCTTCAACCGTCTGTTTGCTGAAAAATAGTAACGCGACCACATTTTCTTGTTAGTAACTGTAACGGTGTTGTAACGATAGGAATAGTAATTAGTTAGATCACTCATTACTGAAAAAAGTAACGCCGTTAGTAATGCCGTTATTCCCATCACTGGTTATTACCAGTAAAATAGTTGCATGTTTAATCATCTGGGAATTTACCCAGATTTATTTACTTATTTAGACAGAGATCTTGACCCCCCCTCCAATGTTCAGCACAAAGTTACGCCGATGATCCTTTGCACAAATAACCTAAATCAGTTATTACATTGAAAATACAGTGATGGCTCACACTCATAATTAAGAGAGAGAAGAGTGAGACTAAGAAAATAAAGATTATGAGTCACTATAAACTTCCCTCTTGAAGAAGCAGCAACTTTGCTAAAAATGCATCAAGCTGGTATTGTCCTTAAAGCAATATTTGAAAAAGGTATAAAATGCAGCCTAGAAACATTAGAACTAAGTGTTTAGTTCATAAAGTTTTGTCCTCTGTGGTCTCTTGCATATAACTGTGTAGTTTAAAAGAAGCTTGACCATATGTTTGTGCTGTATGCTTGCCTCAGTTTTACAGGTGCTTCCAAGCCCTGCTGCAGTGTGAAGCTCCTCGACGAGGCTCCAGCATAAAGAGTTCCTCCAAGGTCCCCACCAAGGCCATGAGGGGAGTAGCAGGAACTGGTCCCCGCCGTACTAACGAATTCCTATTTATGGTAGCCTCATTGGGTCAACCAGCTGCTACAGTCCCCCAACTGGAGCTCTCATGTGAACCTACTATCGATATCACAAAAGCCCCTTCTTCAGACAATAAACCTGTTGTAGTCTCACTAGTGGCTCACCGTGATGGCTGACAATTGGTTATACAATCATAAAACCCTAAGGTCCCCATCCAGGAGATCAGTGAAAACGAAAGAGGTGATTTTACTGAGACTTAAAAAGCGGCGGTCTGCCAGTCCAGGTGGATTCAACGTGACTCCAGCATTAACTCTGGCCTGCCTAGTACAGATGATAGATCAGTAAGTAAGGGCTGTCTCTGGAAAATGTGAGCAACTATCAGAGATGACAGTAAATCTACAGAAGCTGGGAGTTTGTATTTTTTACTGAGAAAAGAAACACTATGATCCTTTCTTAGAAAGCACATTTAAAGGATGCTCTTATCAGAGTTTTGGAGTCAAACTGTAATAAAAGAGGAATTCTAAGGATCATTTTGTGCAATATCTCATTCTCTTAAAATGTCATAACAATAGCATGTTCCAGAGTGCGGGGGAGGGGTTATGATTGGTCTGTACTGATTGTTACTGACTGCAGTTACAAAGTGAAGTGAAATTGAAGAACACCAGCCACTTATGACTGCAAGCTTTTTGAAGTCCTTCAGAATGAGATAACTTTAATAATATGTGCAAGGGGATTGCTTTTGCAGCACTTGCACAAATAAAACAAAGTTGTAAAATTACACAGGAACACAAGAAAGTGTAATGCAACAGAGGTGCAAACTTAAATGGAAGTGGTAATAACTTTACCACCATAGAGTGGCAAACTCTATAGAAAACTATAGAGCTAAGTGGACTGATTCTTATATAGCGCTTTTCTACTCTTTCGGAGTACTCAAAGCACTCTATACCACATGCCACATTCACACCCATTCTCACAAGCACTTTATCTATACTTAGTGCTATCTAACTTCATTCACACACATTCATACTCCGATGGATGAATCGGAGAGCAACTTGGGGTTAGAATCTTGCCCAAGGATACTTGACATGCAGACTGGAGGAGCCAAGGATCGAACCACTAACCTTCCGATCAGTAGGTGACCTGCTCTACCTCCTGAGCTACAGCCACCCCATATCTTCAAACCAGCAATAGTAGCGGCCATAACAGTTGCAAGAAAAAAATCAAACGAGTGCAAATAAGTCAAGGTGTTAATTTGGATAAAGAGAAGGAGTAGCATTCACAATTAAATGTCTTAATAAAAAGTTAATTGTACATTTAACATTGCTAGTATGCTGGGGGTGTTTGGATTTTTTTCAGGGAGATAGACTTTGGAAAGAAATACAAGTTGAAAATCACTGTACATTCAGTAATGGCTGTGAATGTGCAGTCTAATGTAAAGGAGTTTAATGAAATGCAGCATCTAGCGATGTTAAATATTTAGCACTTGTATACCTCGAATTTTATATTCATGCTGTGTTTTGTTAGAGTTTAAAATGTGTATTTAGAGGAAAGAGGTAACATCCTAAAATGTTAGAAGATTTTTGAGTTTTGTTTATTGTTCATAAGCATGCTGTCTGCAAAGTTTGGGCACAAATCAGCTCATAATCTTCACAGTAGCTGATATATTTATTTTCTCAAGAGTCATTCTGCAGAGTTTTGCAGTTCAATAATCAGTATCACATCTGACAATGTGCTCCAAAGTGTCTCCAAAGCGCTCCACTGCGCTTTGCTGCTCCACAGAAACTCATATAAGTTAAATGGAAAGAATTTGCTTTATCATATCATGTTTTCCATGTATTTGTCAGCATCTTGGTTTTTGTTTTTTTTGTTTGTTTGTTTTTGCTAAGAAATGTAAAATTTCTCCCTTCTTGAAATGCAAAGATTACAGTAGAGTTTCTGAATGCATCAAAGCTGTGTTGTCAGTAAATGTTTAAACTGTATATGGTGTGGAGCCACTTTTGCTACTACATACAGCATACACCTGTTGGCTACAACAATGACAGCAATGGCAGGTGAGGTGAAAAACATTGATTATATCATTACCAATCTGTTAGTGTGTCGAAATTATTGGGCAGCAAAAATCAACATTTTTTTTTAAGTCCAACCTGGAAATAACTTACAAACAAGAGAAAATGGTAAGTGTGCCCATTTTTCTTGGTCAGCTTCTGATGGTTGGACAACTAGACTACTAGCATTTCCAAAATAGTGATTGTTGTGAATTTTTCCCAAAAGCGAGCTAAAGAAGGAAAATAAGTAAACCAGCAACAGGGTCATGAGCACCCAAGACTCACTGATGCACGATGATTCCTTGAAGGAGGGTTGAAGGCTGAAGAACTCATTTTCTTTTCTATTATGTTGACAGCTGAGTGTGTGTGCATTATTTACAAGAGGAAGAGATGGCAGCAGGATGCACTACTGGAAGTAGTTAGGCAGACCAAGGTAGTGTAATACTATGGGAAATGTTCTGCTGGGAAAGCTTTCCCATATGGAAAAGAAATGGAAAAAACTTATAAAAGACTTGCATAAGATGTGGCCTACATTATATAATGAATCATATACGTAAAGCTTATATGATTTACTCATGAAAGCGGCCACTTTCTCATTACTTTCATATATTGTTTTAGTAAATATTGAACCCCGATTCTTTTATTCTTCTACTGGACAGAGAGAACACAGACTATCCAAAACATACAAGTTTCATTCATATAATTTTTCAAGGGATCTTATATGTGTTTTCACTCTTGTATGCTTTTCATACAAGTTTCACACAAGACAGATACAAACTTTATAAGATTAATATAAATCTTTTCCATATGGGTTGGTTTTGGAGTTCATGTGACACATTATGATCTATCACATAAATATTGTTGCACACCATGTATATTTCATGGCAGGGTATTCTGAAATGACAATGGGCTCTTTCAGCAAACTATGCTGCAATATCAACTGCAATGTTCGGGAAAGTTGACTAATATAAGAAAAAATTGATGGTTTTGATGTGGTCATTAAATTCCCTTGATTTGTGATTTGGGATGTGCCAGTTTTTGGAACAAAAAACCAAAACAACTGTGAATGTCTTCATGCCTGACAACCCAGGGGGTCTCGTGGCGTTCATTCATCGACTGCTCAGAGCTGTTTTAGCAAGAGGGGAGCACAAAATTACACACTGTTGTGGCTGAATGGTATAAGTTTGTATTGGCAATTTTTGTAAATCACTTTTACCACAAAAGCTGTTTTGAGTAAAAACAAAACAAAACAATGTCAATAATTTTGGAAGTGCATTGTTCAATAAATTTTTTACATCTAAATATACCTGCAGTGTGATTTTGGTTTTTTGTTGGGTTTTTTTAGAAAAATCTTTCTAAAGCAGAACGGTCAAAAAATTTAGATGTTTGACTTCGATGTGTTATGGGAAATGCAGATGGACAGCAGAACGCAGGGAGGCACAGAGTTGCAATGAAGGAAATTTATTTACAGTGAAGGGCAAATTTTCAGGGACAGTGTATTTACAACAGAATGTGAATGGGAACGTGGAGCCAGGACGTGCAGGTGAAGAAACACACACTGGTAGCGCACTCGATTTGGTACTGTTTGCCAAAACCTCCAGAAGGAAACGAACCAGACAAGGCGACCCAAAGAAACAGAGAGGCAAAATCCTGGGGAGGAAACAAAACCCTGTACAGTCACCAGCAAAAATAATCCACAGGCTCCAACAGTAACGCAGGTGTCACTGCCCCTTTACACACTGAGGAAAGTTTCTGTTAAAGTTTCAAAACTGACTCACCCATAGTTTTCCTGACAGTAAAAATGGGTCTGGGCTCTTATGGGTTAAAGAAGACAGGACATCAGTAATGTCTCATGTATGTATATGTTAAGCAATGATTTGTCATTAGCTGTTCGGGGGATGTTATGGGTGCATATAGAGCTATTTAATGTAGTTTGAGGGCTGGTGTCATTTTTTGTTACTAGTTTAAAACCCATATTCAAATGAAAATGTTGACTGTGAGCTCTCAGTCTAAAAAGCGTATTGCCTGCATAACCCTGAGCCTACAGGAGATTTAAGCTACATTCATTTTCTGGTGAAGCTCTTAGAGCACCACCAATGTATAGACATTTATTGTAAAAGAAAAAAGCTAACATGAGATGTTAATTATAGCTGATTAAACCTTCGGCTGCTTTAAAAAGTGTTTAAACAGTGATTCAAGAGACTTCAACACTTTTGGAACATCTCGATTCCGAGTGTTTTTCTGTGTTTAAACTATAAAATGACGAGCATAGAAAGATCGATTTTTTTTACAATAAATTATTATTATCTATTCTTTCCAAGCTGCAAATGTTGATCAGTGTGTAGAAAGTATTTTCCAATGCGTCTTGTGTTCATAGTGCATGAACACAAGTGGTTACACTACAGCCCAAGTTTGATTCTTCTCTTCTTATCTCTTCCTAGCTCTCAGTATCAAAAGCACAAAGACCGAAGAAGTACATCTTAAAAAGCCTTGCTTTTTGCACGCTGTTATTAATACTGAATTTCAGACTATGTGTGTCAGATAGCAGAAGATGTTTTTTTAATTACTTGAGGTCCTGGGAACTACTTCCAAGGACCTTTAATATCTCAAATCTGGGTAGAGTTGGGAGACAATCTGTCTCTGACATTATGATGATGGACTTCATTAAACCTGAGTCTCAGGGCATAATGTCTGATTATTTAACTGAATAGTCTCAAGGCTAGACTGAACATAGGGTAGGTAGTATCCTTTGTTCTTTGATTTTATATCAACAGTGATTATAACTGAGTAATATTACATTGTTCCAGAAGCTGTGAGTAATAATGTAAAACAAATATGTGCGTCTCATCAAATTTTTCTGACTGTAAGTCAGATTTGACAAAATAACTGTCTAAGATGATGTTTTAGGAGGTTTTGTTACTTACAAGTGATTAAAATTATTGCATTTCACATTGTGAAGTTAAAATATATTTCTGAATTCACTAATAAATTGAGTAAGACAAAAATAAAGACGTTATTAAAAACTGAGCACTCACTGAGAAATAGTGCCCTCTTTTTATCCCACATACCCCATAATTCCCAGTATGATGAATATACCTACAGTGGAACCCCGACTTACGAAATTAATTCGTTCCCGAGGGTCTTTCGTAAATCGAAAATTTTCGTAAGATGAAGCAGCCATCGCGCGTTTTGACTGAGGCGATGCTGAACGACAGGCTATAGGCTAATTGCTAACTAGAACAACAATACATCTTAAAGTGGAACAGCGAAGCGCAAGGGGTTGTCACATGATTCGGAAGCCATTGTGGGCATTGTAGGCTCAGCCAATCAGAGCCAGTGGATTTCATTACTCAGGCATTTTGCTGTAACACGGGCAAAAATATTGCCGTTCAGTGCCTTCGTAACTGTATTTTACGGTAAGTCTTGAAATATGAGATGATGGGTGTTAATTGAACAGTTATATGATTGTTAAAATGCCAAAGGGTGAAAATGACTCTGTTGTGGTCACTACCACAAATCAGTAAAATTCTAATGCAAAATATTGCCATTTTACTTCCAGCAGGTTATCATATTAGTACCGAATATTATTATACAATTACTAATTG